TGCTTCGGTAACATCAAAAGTTTGTTGAAGGCTTTTAGGTATAGCCACAGAGGCAAACGCTGGAACAGCATGACTGTCGAACAGCTTTATTGCTGTGAGGACAAGAATCGTGAAAGCCCGCATGCCTTGGACTTTTGTGGCAATGCGTGCAATTCAAATGTTTGTGTTCTGCTCTAGTTAAGCTAAAAAGAAATGAGTTGTTTGAAAACTTCTTGAAAAATACAATATTTCGGCTTAAACGCATCGTACGTCTATTTGAGGTTTCTCAATTACATACATATGCTGTTCGCCGTGCCTGCTTGCATCGATTTTACTAGGTAACAGAAGTGTCGATTCTTTCCGTATCTTAAGATGGAAAGATAGTGCATCATGGGATCGGTACAAGCAAGACAAGGCAATATGCTTACCCACTCCCCCCCCCCCCCCCCCCCCCCCTCTTCCCCCCCCCCCGCGCCGCCCCCCCCCCCCCCCCCCCCCCCCTCCCCCCCCCCCCCCCCCCGCCGGCCCCCCCCCCTCTTCTCTTTTTTTTCTCTTTCCCTTTTCTTTCTCTTCTTTCCCCTTTTTCCCCCCTTCCCCCCCCCCCCCCCCCTCCCCTTCTCTTTTTCCCCCCCCCTCCCCCCTCCTCCCCCCCCAAGACAAGGCAATAATTGACTTACCTAAGTCTACCGCCGCACAAGCTGAAGTATATTATGGACATCCGTGCGGGAAATGACAGCGTAGCATGATCGTATGCTGCTACAACGCTTCACAGTCAAGGTTTATCTGAATCCGTGTTCTTTTCGTTTTAAACCTAGTGTCTCTCTCATTAACCGCGATCCTTTGCTTCTTCGTTACTTTTCACGCCATTTCGTTAAGGCTTTGTGCTCAACTTGGCGTGAGGAGACACAAAGGTGTCGGATGGTGCCTTCATCTTGCTAGCCTTACTAAACAATCATTCACATGTCCCTTTACACCATGGTAATATTATATACATGAGCAAAATTATATGACCTCGCAGTTTATACGATATTCCTTTCGTGATTATGAGAGACGAGAGGAATATCGTGAAAGAGCCTCGATTTACTGCTTAGTACAAAATTCCAGGAACGTCCATAGCCGAGGTAAAACGCCGGTGCGGGAGGGCGCAACGTTGTGTCAGAACACTCCTCAGTAAGATGTGCGGACCCTGGTGAGTAGATTGTAATCTTGATGCACGTGTAAAGTGGTGCCTCGGATGACAGCTTCGCCCTGTGGTGGTCGCGTCTGACGACGACTTCGAGGTGTCGGGCTGTCTCAGTGCAGTAGGTTACTTCCTCCCGCGCCGTCATCCGTACGTCGCGGACAATATTTGGTTGCAAGATGGTGAGTGGTAGCGCTTCAAGGTTTGCTGAAGTCCCGTTTGCAATGAGCGCACGCCAGTCGGTTAACGTAGACCGACAGGCTGTCGGTTGGAACCGCTGGAGGCGCGGCAAATGACACGAAGTTCGATGGACTCCACCTCCACGTAAGATATGTTCCATCAATTTTCCAGTAAATCCTAGTGCTAGTCTGCGGCAGGCAGCAGGAGCTGTCGCCAGCGACCGATGTCCTGTCGAGCTCCTTTCAACCACGCCCGGGGCGGTGACCAGCCGAAGAGAAGCTTGCGTAAATGGCGGAGCTGCCAAAGCGTGGGGACACTGGCTGCGTTGAGAGACACCACAGCCTCCAGCTGCGGCGAGACCAGAAGAACAGCATTTGCCAGCGGCGTAGCTTGGGTGGCGAGCGGCGTGGGGGCATGGTGGATGTATTTTGTCCGCCCCGTTTGCCTGATGTCAAAAGTGTTTATGAGGCCATTGGCAAGCCAGTTGTAATAACACGACCGCAGCTTAGAAATGTCCGGGCCTAAGATCTACGGGTTGTCCGCCCACAAGAATGAACGACTAAAAGTACCAACTCATTAGTGATTTTTGCCCTGCAGGTGGCGGATCCATGTGGTCCGTTTCCACAGCTCTTTAGTGGCTAATTAATCGTCGAGAATGCAAAAGTAGTCGACGCCGGGCCATGGCAGTTGCCGGGGCTAAGGCGCAAGATATGTTTCCAACAAAACGATCAACTTGTATTTGATAGCGCAACGTTTTTCATCGGATAGATCTTCGCGGGATTCCGTGGTGAAGTTGATCCGGCCGTTCGGTCCTTGCCCGTTGTCGTCTTCGGTCCTTGCCTCTTGTCGACTACATAATTTACACACTGGGTATTGATCCGATCGTACAGCGTGCTTCTGTCGCTGTGTTTTCTCCGCAACCGGGGTAGAGACTAACTGACACAGATCTTGCCGGTCGTGGTGCAAAGAGAAAGCCAGGGTTAATCTTGTGGTGGCCGTGTTCAGAATTAGTGGAATTGTTCGATAAAAACTGCTTATAGACGTTTTTAAGGGCGCTGAGAGCCCATAATCGCAATATTAAACCTTTCTCAATGATGCCAAATCATACATGTACGTAGCGAAGATTCACGGCGAAGTCCTGGCCCACAAGAATGTGCCACCCTGCATCCATTGACGACTTAGAGACCGCTTTGTCTCAGCAAAATCATGTTGGCTGCGTCAATTTACCTTCGACTGCACAAATGGAATTATGTGTACTAAAGAATTTGCATAACTCTACACACTGATGTTACAGCAGTTCATGAAACAAGGAGCTTTTCATAGTTTTCGAAACTGCAACGACAACACATTAGTAGTTGTAACGAAGTGATACGAATCAAACGAATACTAACAGCTTTTGTCAATTCATTAGACACCACACGTTGCTTCATTACTTGCCCTGAATTACTTATACTACATCCATACGGGGCAAAATATGTCCGACTATTCTGTCATTCAAGTCTTGATGCTTTGTCTTGTCATCACGTCGGACTTCGTTGCACGATTGACGACTCGAACCACTACCTGAACCACTATGTATTTACGCAAATATTCAGGACTTGATAGTATATAGTATTGACATCTTCTTCTTAATGCTAAGGTAGTATTCTTGTGTGTACTCCAGTACCACTGACTTAATCAACAACTTTCACAATCGCACTCACGCACACGGGTGACAAATTGGCATTTTTGAGCATATGCACGACATTTCATAAATTGGTGATTCTTTTTTGTGTAAAACCCATCTTCTCTCTTGTGAGCCAGTCATTCTTTTCCATTCAACGACCGCAAAAAATAAATGACTGGCGATGCCGTTATGCCCCTTGTAGGCCGGAAAATGATGAGAAAGCTAGGTGGTATAGCGAATGAAAATGCAGCGGCTGAGATTTCAACCTTTGCACGTCGTCAGATGGAGATGATGGGCTGGTCTGCTGGCAAAGGTCTGGGCAAGAATGAGCAAGGCATTACATCGCACGTCAAGGTAAAGCGGCGAGAGGAGCTACAGGGTGTTGGTGCGGAAAAAGAGGAAATGAAGGAACAGCAGAACCAATGGTGGTACAATGTTTATGACCGCATGGCTAGTAAGATTGTAGTCGACACATCATTGGAAGAAGTGGATCTAGACAAAGAAAAGAAGAAGACGAAGAAAGTGGTGAAAAAAGATAAGAGAAAACGAAACGAGAATAAAGGAGAAACATATCGAATTCCTACAGATGAAGAGCTGTTTGCTGCAACAGGTGGAAAACTTTTTGGACGTAGAGCGTATGGATCTTGCAATGGAAAACTTCGACGGGATGAGATGCAGCTGAAGAAAGCAAAGACCCAAGAGAGCCAAGCACCGATGACAACTACATCTGGTATTGGTGACGTTACAGAGAACGAAAAAGAAAGAAAACGGGTCAAGAAGGAAGCTAAGAAATTGAAGAAGAAGAAGACAAAGAAAGCTGTAAGTCTGTGTTTGACCTGCTGATAGTGTGAATGTCAACTGTTCCTCTTTGCACTTTTGATCTTACTCGTTCAGTGTAATGGTTGTGATGCACAATGTAATCGTCACTCTTGTTTGCCTTGTGTGATTATAAATGTAGGGAAAACGCAAAGATTTGTGATAACTTGCAAGACAACAATATTGTGGCTTGTCATACGAGTAGTAGTACTTTGGCTTCTACAACTCGATTGTTAACTCCTTTTCTCATAATGGGTTTGACACTCCTCAGCAAGCATGTAAATGGCAAGATCAAGTTGCTGTGTTGTTGACATGCCAATGTCTTGACATCAACGATATCGACAGCGGAAGCGTTAGCTGCACTGGCACTCCGGTTGCATATGTGTCACATTTCAAGTGAACATGCAAAATTGAATGGCGTCAACGCGGCAAGAATGATCAATCACCATTTGCTTCTATGCAACAAAAACTGCTGGCACACTTTCTCAACGAAGCAAGACCGTTATAAAGTCTTTTACATTATTACGTCCACTCGGATCGGTGAGCTAGCTACCCGTTATGAAATTAAGTCTGACGAGTTTCTTATCCCATTCCTATTGAAGCACAGCATGTTACGTACTACTGAAATAAGCGAAGAAAGTTATATTGTTGAAGTGCTGAAGCAAATACTGAATGAGGCTACGGTTACCTATGATCGTTTCGACTCGAGCGCTCAATCTGTGGTGCTCACAGTCATTGGCATAGTCAAAAGACCTTGTTCCATTCAACTCTGTATAGACGACAGACGCATCCAATTGCGATGAACGAGTTGAGAACGACAAATTCAATGAATGTGGTCTTAAATGCCTTGGCAAAGATGTCAAGGCTTCCGCATTCCAAGTCAGTGAAGCCAAGCAAGATCAGTGAAATGAAGACGATCGTGAGTGCTTATCGTTGTTTATTGAGACCTACACTTCTGTGTGATAGAAGTGATGCTAAAAGACTTGTCATCATCGCTATGCCTTGGCGTGACTAGCTTCTTTCGGTTTCATGCTTGCTTGGTACAAAGTGCCGCTGAAAATCTTGTGGTCTGCTTACTCCTTCACGCTGCCGCGCGCATAGAACTTATGCAGCAACACTTTGAAGCTAAGACACAGCGAAAGAACTTGAAGGTATTTGTACCTGTCGAACTGCAGATTATTAATCATCATGAGACTTGCCTTGACCCCAAAGGGCTGTCAATTGAGCACGTAAAAGGTACCACTCCTTTACGTAGAGTATGAGCACTACTCCAGCAAAGCAAAGTGCTCCCACCGCAACATGCACCATATGTCGAAACATCAATGAACTATCCGTCTCGGAATTGAGCAATACATGCTGAGATGTCAAAGTCACTGCCAACGAGATTACAAATGCAGTCACCACAAGTCGATCTGGTAGAGATTGGCACCAAAACGATAAGCCATTGATAAAATCATTGCTCGTTTGGCGCTTACAAGCTACTTGACGAAAGTAGGAAGCCAAGAATGCCAAACAGTAGAGGATTCGGCAGCCCATATTGACACAATTCGCCAGGATGAGACCAAAAGTGCCCCAGTCGAGTACCTGCATGAATACAAGCGCACTAAGCGCGTATATGGCAAAAAATACACCGAGCAACTTGTTCAGTTGCATAAGCTCGTAATCGTTTCCAATAGCATGCACCACAGCTTCACAAATCCCATTCACCCCCAAGAATGGAATGTAAGCGCAGTACACAGCTAATGCAGCACCCACACCCTGACGAGCCTTCTCAGCTCCGTATAACAGTATTGCTAATGTGTATGCGTAGCTGGTTCCAAAGCATACGAACAACAGTCCCACCAAATTCATAAGCTTAAGCAGCACCAGTAGCAGTGTCTGTCCATCGGCTCGGCTTTTATTGTTAATCTCCTTGTCATTTTTTGATCGCTCTTCTGTTTCTGCGCTAGTGCAAGCTTACTAAAAACAGTTTTGGTAGCTTCTTCAATAGGCAAGAAAACAATTCGCGGTACGAGCGATCCTAAATTTGACACCAGGCCATACACCCCCATTGCCTGCAGCGATGCAAATCCAGTCAGCACCCACTTATCTCCTTCTGCCAGCAAATACTTGACTCCACTTTGTACAGTCAGTGGTACCATCAATGCCATTAACTCTGCATGATACCAATCTATATTTCCGTCCGGCTTCCCAGGTAGTAGCTGAGTCATCGTCGTCAACGCAAACTTGTCTTTTTCACTTGAAAGTACATAAATTCGTCGCCAGTATAAAACCATAAACATCACGAGCAACGTCACCGCGTACGACAACTCGGCAATCCCGTACGCTATCAAGTTTAACTCCAACATTACGACACCCATGTACTGAACCACTGCTCGGACCAGAAACGCAGCACTTTGAGCCGCCACTTGCCAACTCACTAGCACACTAGCATGCGCTAATACGTACATTGGTTCTGCTAATGCTTCAATCATTGCAGCACAACAATACATGCTCAATACGGTCACATATCCTGTCATTGTTTCGTCATCTTTCAAAGTGTCTGAAACCATTATATAGAGAAATAAAAGACTTGCCACCATCCAACTAACGACAGTTGATAACCATGCAACATTTACTAATTGTTGTAGATAAATATGTTTTTCATTGCTTGGGCCTTTAAAGTCAAGCGATGGCATTCGTAAAAATGCCAACCGAAATCCATCGCGGAGTAGGAAGATGGAAGCCAATACTAATTCCAATTGAATCGTTACCGTTCCAGTCACATGAAGATGTAACTTACGTAGTACAAAGGAATTAGCGGCAAAGGTTATTAAACGCTGCAAGAAGCGGTAGGAACCGCCACGTAGGGCACGAGAGACGACGACTCCATTAGGAGAGTTCATGTGGATGCGTTGCTTCGTGCAACGTAAGATGTCAATAGTTGCAACATACGCATGTTTTTGTCTCTGTCCCTTGTAAATCAATCAAATTTTATTTCTACCGGTAGCATACTGACATTAATTACCGGTATAAATAGAAAACTATCGTCATTGATACAGAAAGACGAAAGACGTCTTTTATCAACGTTATAGTTGGCAGGATGTTTGAAATGCCTTGAGTTAAGTGAACGTCGTGGCCGAAAAATACGCTCGGAGGTTGTTAACCACAATATGCTTCTTTTGACTTTATCCATCAATGCGTCTACGGCATCAAACCTGGACGGGTCCATGCGTAATGCCGTAGCAGCCGCTCAAGCGGCCCGTTAAGCCACAGAGCACCTGGACAACTGGGCGAATCCTTTTCACTACTGATGCGGTCTAGAAATTGACTTGTGCGACCATCGCAATTATGACGCGTAATGCAAGGACGCGGCCAGCCGATAACTAAACTTCTCCTTACTGACCACTTGCTCGGCCTTCTTTGGCATACATAGCGAAGCCGTCGTTTATAAAATCTTGCTTGCGCAACCATTCCCTTGTCAGCTGATGAGTCCAGAAACTAGTCTAGCACGTATTCTAATAAAAAAAAGAGGCAGACGTCTGCGAGCAAAAGCAAAACGCAACCCAGAAAAAAGTGGTTATGGATGCTAGGGACGCTAGAGAAAAAAACTGTCTTCCGTTCAGGCTAGCATTTACGCTCTTGTCGTAGTGCACACCATACTCTTACGTGGCTGAGATGTGCAGTTTGGATGAAATGATCAAAATGTGCAGTTGCTGGCAATATGTAGACCTCCGTACGCATGATGGTAGTACATATAGTACGAAATCGCTTACATTAGCCAAACGCTTGATGACAACTGGATAGCGTACATAGTAGTTCCAAGTTAATAAGACAAGGATGTGTGTAATTTCAGTCGTCGCTACACAATCGCTCAATCTGTATCTTGGAGGAAGAAATGATCTGCGAACGGTATAGAAATAGTAGCGTTTTAACATATTTTGGTAAGTTTCTAAGAGATTGTCAGTGGGAGTATTGAAGCTCAGCACATTAGCACCCTAATTGACTGCACGTGTCATCAAAATGTTGCCAATCTATGTAATACTTGAAGTCTATGAACGAGCGGCTCTTTCATCATCAGAAATCAGTCTCTGAATGCAGGTCATGAATCCATTATCTATCACTTGTCATTTCGATATTTACTCTCTCAAGTGTCCAAGTATCCATTTACCACGCTTTCTACTCGTGTCGGCAGCGTTCACTTACCTCGTATATTGTGAAAAAACAAGTTTACACCAACGTTTGAACCAAAATGTAGCATTGCTAGATGCTACTGAATCCCGTGATGCACGGACCGTTGATGGTCAAAAGTCTGTGCGACTGCTGAAAGCAGACAGTGCCGATGAAAAAGATGATGACGAAGCATCAAAGCAAGAACGAAGCTATTTTTGGTCGAACCTAAGGGCTTCTAAGAAAAGGGAAAGTTTCAAGGAATTGATAGAGGCATTGAGTGTTGCAGGGACGAATGTGAAAATTGCAGCAGAATTGACCAAAACGGAGGAAGTTGCAAAGAAATTGAAGGAAGCAGAGACAGAGGAACTGAAAAAAACTTGTGGAAAGTGCCGTAGCGAACCCCTTGACTCAGAGTTCGACAAATGGGCTGCATCGAAATTGAAACACAATCCCTTATTAATGTGTTGGCTGAACATGTGACATATAGTAGTAATAAAGGGGAATGGTATTGTCAATGGCTACCTTAATTTCCTGAAAAGCAAACATTTAAATGCTAACAATGCCTAAGAACTTACTTAATATGGAATTGATGCTAACGTTTTGTATTCATTCTACGTAATATCAGAATATAGTCAAGGATCATGAAGACAATATAAGAAAGGCACAAATGGAATCGACAGCGTCTCTCTTGTGTGAGATCTCGTCTAGTCAAGTCTTGAATTTTTCGTCTACACAAGAGCTTGAAAGTGTCATTCTGGACTAAAACGCCTAATGGATTACTGTTCAAGGAATCAAGAGTGGGTGCGATTCTAATCAACAGTAGGACACAGATTGAAGTTCAAGACGTCTTTCATGCTGACGAAACAAGAACAAAAGACCATACAACAATTTACACAGCTGGCGATAGCGTTAAGTGCGTGTGGAAAGTTTGTAGCAATTGAAGATGCAGGTGTATTATCTTTATATAAGAGCAATGAAACACTATTATTTGGACACGAGGTGATGCATACACATGACTCGGACAGGTATGTTTAATACGTCTTGAGTGTAATTATCTGGTTCCTGTTAGTGTGATATTCGTGGTCTTTTGTGTTCATTGCAGTACAGTCTGAAGGTTGAAGCATTCGAGAATAGGTCGTCGGTTGTTGGAATGACTACCATAACGTAGTGGTAGTGACGTTGCGGGGACTCTGTTGCGATTGGGGGATTAGAAGTTGGCAGACTTTGAACAAAAGCTGTTTGAAAACGACAAGGATGTTTCGAGTGTGATTTTGAGCCATGTGCAATTCCAGAACGTTGGTCAGCTGATAGAGAACGCTACATTTTGTATGCTGGTAAGACGAAATGCACAAGTATTTGCGATTGTAGTGTGACAAAGGCCCTATTACTTCTAACCGCATGGTAACCTACGTTGCATTGGTGTCATACACTTTTAGATACATCGCTTCCAGTCACAGAAGTACATGATTCTTGGTATCATGCCGCATTTATAAGTGTTTGGGTGGCAGGCGTGAAGAATCAAGACGATCGAATGGAAATTGAGGTGCATGAAAGCGTTTTTGAAACATATTTGGAGATTGTGGGCTGACAAGTTTTTTATTGCGTAGAAAGTATTAATGTGCGGCTCTAGATCAAGTCCTATCGACGCAATGACTTTTGATGTAAATTGTAATTTGCTCGTGGTTCTTTCCGATGGTAAACTTCCTACAAAAAATCTTGTGCTATTGTTGACTTTGGCTTATGTACGCGTGCAAAATTATCCGATAGGTGGAAGTGGCGTGACATGACGAAGTTGTTTAACGCGGGTATTAAGTTGTGCCGTTCTTGAAGCTCGTATTGGTGCAGAGGACAAACTAGACGTTTCAGTGCTTGCTATAGCGCGCGTTTTGGAGGACGGGTAGTCAAGTTTCGAATTGCAACTGGTTCGAATCAACGTTGTGAACCATGTAGTGCTTGTCAACTTTGGATTATACAAACCAAAACGGATCGCACATCACAGATGGTCTGTGTTCATTGATAGTCCTGCACAATCTATCTACATCTATAACACTTCATTCAATATTATTAACCAAAGAAGGTCGCACGGGAGGACCTTGGGAGGTTGATGTGACCGTACCTAAGGTACGAAGGGTCGCATCGTCGTGGTCATTATACTTAGTTTAAGTATTATGAATACATACCTTGTAAAAATTAAAAAGGCTACAGAGCCAGATAAATAGTGACTAGCACAAAGTAAGTGTTTCTATATTGCTGCTAGATGTGATAAGCCATATATAAATTAGTTTATACCTGCTCTGTATGGCATTCGTTGCTACAGCTCTATTCCTTTGTGAGAGGAAATAGTATATTACGTCTCCAAGAGCCTAGGGATACTAGGTTCTTGGAGACGTCGTTGTTTACAGCCAAAAAGGCATAAGCTTGTGAAGCTAGCTTTGAGAGGGTTAAGAACTCTAAGACGTATAAGCTTTTTGAGCTTGTCTTCCTCTGCACCTGGTGCGTAAGTAGCTTTGCTACAAGAGGCCCTGCTAAACCTGGTAGCACTTGTAGTCAATCTTGCACCTGGGTTTGCGACTACTTCTCTGTGTAAGAATGGATATCGATGAGATGTCAGCGGTTGGCCTGTCACAGGCACAACAGGAAGGGTTGCAGAAGCTGCTATCTATACTTGGCCCTACGAGCGTGGAATACCTCATCGCCCAGGGCAAAGAAGAGGTTGACAAGCGTATTCATATGCTTGATGAATATATTAAAGCTCTAGTCGAGCATATAAAGACACAAATGCCTTCTTCTGCGCCTACGCCCATGGCGACTATGGCGCAGGAAGTGGTCCGCAGACCAAAACCCATACAAATGGAAGCCGATAAGTTCGACGGCAAAAAGGTGATCACCTTATGCTTTGGTTCCGACAGGTTGAGTCGGCTATGTTTATAGCCGACATCACCTATGGACCGTACCGTGTGGGCTTTGCCACGGGCAAGCTGAGTGGATTAGCCAAGTAATGGGCATTCACATGCGGTGCATTATTGCAAGATACATTCCCAACATGGGCCGATCTGAAAGTTCAGATGGCCCGGCAGCATGCACCTCCAAACCAAGCACACCGTAATCGGTCGCGGTTTTAGCGTGTTGCCAAGGCAAGCGTGAACTTGCGGCATATGTGCAAGAGTTGAGGACTCGTATTGCCGCCATGGTCAGTAAACCCTATGTCTGAGGCAGTGACCGTCACGGTCTTCATGGAGGGCCTCCGAGTTGGCGTTGCCAGAACGAGTCTTCCGGGTATACCCGTCCTCATTCGAGGAAGCTGATGGAGTGGCATGGAATGACGACGAACGCTAAGGCCGCTAGGCCTGCCACTTATAACTACTCGTCTGATGGGTCTGTTCCCATGGACTGTAGTCAA